AATACATGCGGGCGGTACCTGCACATATTCGGATGATACAGGCATTGCAGCCATATACCCGGATGGTGCAGACATGTACCTGGGTGGTGCGGGCAGTACGGACACGTATGCAGGTGCCGATACGGGCATGGCTGTGTGCACGTTTCCTGATGGTATGGATACATATCCTGTGCGCACAGCTGGTGTGTACGTCCCCGGCATGTATGTAGATGGCTGTACATACATACCGGGAACGTACTTTTTCCGTTGTTGCTTCTTCCTTTCTTTATTTATGGCGCGTCGCACCGCATCATTTTAACGCTAAAAAATAAAAATATTATTAGTAATTAATAATTTATAACATATTATTATTTATCATATTAATTTGCAGTTCAGACGTTCATTTTATATGTGAAAATCAAAATATACAGCATTGTAATTGCATACATTTTTGGCGTTTTTAGCACCGTCATGTGTGTGTGTGTTTGCTTGTGTGTTACAATACGATGTTTTTTTAAAGCTGAAATATCATTATACACGTATTTTTGTGTGGCTGTGTGCTCCCGCGTATTTTATACATACATCCATACACACATACATTTCAGATACACACGCAGTTAAATATGTACATATATGTACACATGTATTTTGTGTTTCTTTGTTAGAATGCAATATTTTTTAAAAATTGAAATATCATCTGTCATATTCAAGTTTAAAAGAAGATCATTTATGATAAAGTAGTACCTGGTGCGTGGTTCAATATATTACTATCACTTGCAATTCACACAATTTTATATGTGAATTGCAAGTGATAGTAATATATTGAACCACATGCATGTAACTATTTTAATTTATATATGTATGCATACATCAAAAAGAAAGAAAATCAAAATGTACAGCATTATGATCGAAATTTTCGGCGTTTTTAGCACCGTCGCGCACGACACATACATGCATACATACATATAGATAATTTATCCAATCATAATATTGTATATCTTATTTCTTATAATTTATTTAAATATGTATAATTTGATAAAACTAACCTTTTTTACGTTCTGCCCCATTCTGGGGCCCGGTCCCATCGCTTCCCTTACATTCGCTAACGGCGCCATTGCCGTTGGCATCGGCGCCGAGGGGGTGTCAATGCAGTGCCGATTGCCACGGAGAGACGACATCCCCAGCACATCTCCAGAGCGGTCCAATCATATTAAACGATTGAAAATTGGCGTCATCGTCGCCGCCTTCGTAGCCGTCGTCGCCTGCGTCGCCGTTGTCGTCTTCGTCGTCGCCTTCGTAGCCGTCATCACTTGCGTCGCCGTCGTCGTCTTCCTTGTCTTCGTCGCCGACGTCGCCGTCGCTGCCGCCTTTTGCCCCACTTTTGCAGGCAGACTGCCTTCGCTTCGTGCTGCAAATATATGAGAGAAAGATATTGTGGAAGAGACAGATATGCATTTGAATAACATTATACATTATTATAATTTATGCAGCGTAACATGATTCATAAATTTTAATAATATATTTAATGTTATTATATATAGAAAATGTTATTTCGAAATAAATGTATGTACACAGGATAAAGTACTTACATCTCGGCATATTGTTGCTCGTCTTCAATTGTTGCTCGTCTTATCGGCACTTATAGCAGTCTCGTCTCTGCTCTGCTGTTCAAAGACAAATGACGATTTTTTGGCCGATTCCGGACACATACACTGTTGCCACATATGTGGTAAGCCGGTTGGCCACAGTAGTTGACCGTGTTTGTTCGTAAATAAGAATCTCAATTCTCCATGTATTAACATCAAAATAATTTTAATGAATTAATGAGATTTTTGCAATTAAAATGATACCAAACACGACATAAATTGGATAATTTATAATTAAATATGTTATCAAAATTTTGTTTATTTATTTAATTAAAAATTATCCGATTTATGTCATGTTTGGTATCATTTTAATCGCAAAAATATTATTAATTCATTACAAATATTTGCAAATGGATAAAATATAAAATAAAGGTTTTACTTTTTATTTTATAAGATGTTTATATGTTGTAGATAAGGAAAAATTCCCGACGCTGGAGAGTCGTCGAAAGCGAGAGTGAGAACGAATGAGGAGCAAGCGAGATGGCTAAAAGAGTTCCGAAGTCTCTCGCGAGGCTCTCTTTATCTATAATCTTTCACGTATTATATGTCATCTTACAATAGAAAAGAAAACTTTTTTATATTGCATTTTATTGGTTTGAAAATTATATTAATGGAATAATGAGATTTTTGTGAGCGAAATGATACCAAACACGACATAAATCGGATAATTTTTAATTAAATAAATAATCAAAATTTTGATAACACATTTAATTAAAAATTATCCAATTTATGTCGTGTTTGGTGTCATTTTAATCGCAAAAATCTCATTAATCCATTACAATTATTTTTAAATCAATAAAATGCAAAATAAAAAAGTTTTCTTTTCTATTGTAAGATGATATATGATACGTGAAAGATTATAGATAAAGGGAGCTTCGCGAGAGAGATTTCGGAACTCTTTGTTAGTCATCTCGCTTGCTCCTCATTCGTCCTCACTCTCGCTTTCGACGACTCTCCAGCATCGAAAATCTTTCCTTATCTACAACATATAAACATTTTATAAAATAAAAACTAAAATTTTTATTTTGTATTTTATCCGTTTTCAAATATTTGTAATGAATTAATGACACTTTTGCGATTAAAATTATACCAAACACGCGACATAAATTGGATAATTTTTAATGAAACATGTTATTAAAATTGAAATTATTAATTTAGTTAAAAATTATCCAATTTATGCCGAGTTTGATGTCATTTTAATCGTAAAAATTTAAAATCCATTAAAATTATTTTCAAATTGATAAATTGCGAAATACAACAGTTTTTTTTATTGTACTCTCTAAATTTCTTAGAGTGAAATTTAACTCCAAACGAGTAAATATTCACTTCAAGCGATAGTGGAAATACTGCCACTCGTAATTAGTGAAAATTCACTTTTCACAAAAGTGAACTGTTTAACTCTGAAGTAAAGTGAATGTGTTACTCGTTTTGAAGTGAATAATTCACTCGATCAGAGAATGGAGTCATCACTGTTTTGTCAAGTGAATTTTTCATTCAATTGTTACGAGTGAACAGATTCACTCTTAGGAAGTATAAATGTTAATTCTAAACCGGCTTTCACACTGAGATAGCATGCTACGTGCAACGTGAAGCTTCGATCAGTTGAAATGAAAAGCAGTGTCATTGCTTCTCACTTCAAATAATCGAAGCTGCATATCGCACATAGCATATTATCTCAGTGTGAAAGCCGGCTAAGTCTCCTTTTTTCTTGTCGCAGCCATATAAATGTATAACGTTAAAAGCAAGAAAAAAATATATGTTTACAAATCTTACGAAATATGTTGAAATAAAAAGATATGTCCCTAAAAAGTCACACACATACACACACACTTGCGCTCGATGGTATCGATTAATAAAACATTATTACAAAAATTTTCTTTTTACTATAATAAGAAATAAATAGCTGTAAAATTAATGTGACAAAAAAATATTTAAAAAATAACATATCCTAATTTTATATGGCTATTTATTAAAGCAAAAGTTTTCGAAATATACTTTACCAATCTCTTAACTGATCGCAAGTATCATTTTATGGACATTATCTTTTAATGTATTTCGTAATTTGGAGTATATATTTTCTTGCTTTTAACGTTGTCTATCAAGATGGCTGGGACGAGAGATCAGAAGCTGGAACTAAAACTGTGTTTGGAGATGATCTCTTAGAGACGGGAGCAACTTCAGGATTAACTACCACTGACGATTACATCTCGTTTCATCACTTAGTCGAAATATATCATTTTTATTTGTTTCATTCGGCATTTTTAATGCAAGCTCAGCAACCTATGGCAAGTGATAATTACTGATCTAATACACTATTTCATCATTTTAATTGTATGTAATTATATTTTCATATTTACCTTCAATGCAAATATATTTTCTTCCATATAGTTATTTTGTTTTACATCTTTTAATATCCTTGGTTTTTTTTATTTTCGATCCTTTAGAAACAGCTCTCTTTTTCTTGGATGGGCTTAAATGTTTTCTCATGGTTTTTAAACGGTACTCTATAAAACCCTGATTTGTTTTATTATCATAAAAATGTTCCTAAAACCAACATAAAATAGAAAAGAGGTTTATGTATTTCAATTTTAAAATAAAAAATTTGCTTACGTAGCCGTTTTCAGAGAGAGTTGATCGAAGTTTCGGAAACTGCGTAATAATTTGTCTCGCTAATTCGGTTTTTAGTCCATGTGATGGATATCTTTAACAAGAAAAATAAATATGATCAAATCTAAATATAATATTACGTAAATAATGTTTATACAACAAATCAATAAGAATATCGTTACTTACAAGTTATAATTATTAATTTTTATTAATCCCGCGCAACAAATTCATATAAGTTCTTGTCTATGAACGGAGTGAATAATACCTGAATCTAAAATATTGATAAGCGATGGATTTCTTTTAGATTCTTTCTCGTTTTCTTTAATCCAGGATCTAATATCAAAATCATTTGAATCTCGATGTGTCTGTAAACAACAATTATATATCATAGGATGTTAAATAGGGAGAGAAAGAGGTGGAGAGAGAGGGAGAGAAAGAGAGGGGGAGAGAGAGAGGGGGGAGAGGGAGAAAGAGGGAGAGAGAAAAAGAGAAAGAGGAGAGAAGGGGAGAGGGGGAGGGAGGGGAGGGGAGAGAGGGGGAGAGAGAGAGAGAGGGAGAGAGAGATTTTTTTGATTGATTGATCTTTATTAGCTTCCTCAGCTATTTGTAATACAAATCTAGTTTACATTAATTAGCTGTTTCATCTTTTATTTCTTTTACAATTTTTACCAGCCAATCTATTTTTACGTCAATAGTCGATGATCCACTCGCTCCTGATATTCTATTTCTACTACTTGGCGTCGTAAACGAACCTGTAGATCCTGTAGATCATAGCCTGTCTCTGCCGCCCCCGGCCACTGCCGATGCCTTTTTCATATCTGCTTCACTTTCAATTGTAAATCTGTCAAATGGGCCAGAACACGGTACCAATTCTTGATTTTTATCGTAAATCCTATGCTTGCTTACACATCCTGGAAGGTAAAACAGCTTAATACAATTCACCTGATAGCAAGACTTGCATGTCACCACCTGATTTTTCATTGTCTTTTTACATGCCGAGCATCGATATTCAGCATATTCATCGCCCATGTTACGTCAATAGTCGATGATCCACTCGCTCCTGATATTCTATTTCCACTACTTGGCGTCGTAAACGAACCTGTAGATCCTGTAGATCCTAGCCTGTCCCTGCCGCCCCCGGCCACTGCCGATGCTTTCTTCATATCTGCTTCACTTTCAATTGTAAATCTGTCAAATGGGCCAGAACACGGTACTAATTCTTGATTTTTATCGTAAATTCTATGCTTGCTTACACATCCTGGATGGTAAAACAGCTTAATACAATTCACCTGATAGCAAGACTTGCATGTCACCACCTGATTTTTTATTGTCTTTTTACATGCCGAGCATCGATATTCAGCATATTCATCGTCCATGCCGATAATTATCGGCCGAAACCGCTAATATCAGCGTAAGCGATCAGTCACCTTTGTTCCACTGTCACACGTCAGCATTTTTGTGTCCACCTTTAATGTCTACCTGTCGTGTGAGACTTTGGTGTCCCAGACAGGAAATGCACTTCTCACTCCCACAAATCAGCATATCCCGGCTAGATAACACTCAAGGCTAATGCCGGTCTATGCCGCTATGACTTGAATAACTTTCTATCACTCCCCGTAACTATTTAATAAGGTAATCCGTATCAAGGGTAATTTTTATACACTATAACCACTAGTGACCTATCCCACGAAAAAAACAGATTGCACAACAACTTTCTATTTTTTGATACGTTCTAACTATAAGAAATGTAGAGATCGCGCGACCTATATACGTCCATGTATGCCCTACGGCAGTGCTCGGAGATAGTTGCCCTTTTCGGGCCGATTCCGTGGCTCACGCCTATTGCCCTCCACTCACCGCTCGTGCGTTAGCGACGAGTCGCCAGATACGCGTAACTAAGGAGCGCGACGCTTTGTCTCAGGAGCGTCCGTATATAAGAATGTCCAAATATAATAGTAAGACAATACTTTTCTAAATGCACCGCGAAAATTCTCAAAATTAAAAGTATTTCTTCAATATTTTATATTTCGTTGATATAAAATATTGAAGAAAAACTTTTATTTATAGAAAAGTATTGTTTTATTATTATATTTAGGCATTCTTATATACGGACACTCCTGAGAAAAAACGTCGCGCTCCTTAGTTACGCGTATCTGGCGATTTGTCTCTAACGCACGAGCGGTGAGTGGGGGGCAATAGGCGTGAGCCACGGAATCGGGCCGAAATGTGCAACTAAATACGAGCACTGGTCTATGTACATATTATACATATACATATATATATACACAGTTATATATGTAACACCTAACGACACTTAGATGAATGAATTAAAATTTTAATATATGTAGATAGATATATAGATGAAAGTTAAAAAAGTGCGATTATATACAAGATATAGTCATAAAACATTTTTATAATAATATATGATGAAGTACAATATAAGACAAATTAGTCTTAAAATCAGTCCATAATGCAAATGGTTTCAGATCACATAACTCATCAGTGTTTACAAATCTAAATGAATCTAATTTAGGATATACATGGTAAGCATTTAATGATTCATTATAACCAAGATACTGCCATTCTTCACACCACAACCACAATTGATCATCTTTTAGTATTATTAATTCTTGAATACAACCAAATGTAATTTCACTATTTTCTTGTACTCCATTGTCGATAGCAACAAACAAACCTTTTCGATATTCTGTACTGTAAACCTCTGCTTTATCAACTTTAATAATTTTGTCTTTGCCCTGATATTTTATGTGATATAATTGCTGCCAGCAATAAGTATTTTCAACATAAACTTTACATCCGTTACCATATTTTAATTTGATTCTCGGCTCTTCATTAGTACCCCAAACTACGCATTGAGATAACTGACAATAATTAATTAATGTTTTTGTAATATTTTTAAAATTACATACAATAGATCCATATTTTTTAAAGAAATTATGTTTCGCTTCAAATCGTAAACAATTTAACCAACGTAAAGGACCAGAAAAAGATATACACTGAGGGTAGTGAGTTAAATGATGATGCTTATTAATTGGACTTATAGCTGGAAATAATTCTCGGAATAAACAATTGTGTTCCTCGATTAATTCTGATAAATATGGCAAAATAGAGCGTGTCAATGTTGGAGCAAATACTATTTTGTTTATTCTATTCAATATTAAAATTAACGATAGATATTTATCATTTTCAGGTACTAAATCTGAAACCACGAAGGGAAAAACTTTTAATAAACACCATGTTTGCACAGCAGTTTGTGAAAGTTTGTAATCCTTTTGATATTTAATAGAAGCTGAAGAAAAATTTACGGAAGGTTTATTTTTATTTTCTGGTAAACCATATCGAAATAAATTTATTCTGTTGTTGAACATATCTATGTTAAAATTATAATCATCACAAGTGCTATAATAGTGCAAAACCAATTTTAATTCCATTGGTGCGATACCTTCTAAAATATCGTGCATAGGGTCAAAGACAAAATTATTTGTACAATGAAAAAAGCGAGAAGAATGTAATGCACTATCTTCTAGAATACCTGACTTTGTTTTAGAATTTTCAATTTCTTTTAATGTTTGTTGAGTATTTATTTCTTTTAATTGTTTGTCATGTAGCTGCTTTGTACGTAAAGAAACAACATTTAAATTTCTATTATTCTTGAAGTCATCTCTATTGATCATACAAAGTCTACAAAAATATTTAGCAGATGGACTTAAAAATCCTAATAACTGATGCGGGGCCAATCCATCAGCACAAACTGCAGCAATACTTGCTCTTAATACGAAATGTGTTCCATTATATATAACATTTACACCATTGTCACTTTCAAGTTTATTTAAATCCAGCAAAAATGGTTTAAATATAGCTTTCATGCCATATTTTTGAATATCAGCAGTATGACACAAACTAAGAATATGAATTCCTCCCAAAGAAGAGTTAATATATTGAGGCAAATTTTGAATTACAAAATAAAAAGCTCCAATTTTGTGAGGATGAACTCCCAAAGAAGAGTTAATATATTGAGGCAAATTTTGAATTACAAAATAAAAAGCTCCAATTTTGTGAGGATAAACTTTAGAGCCCAATGGATTATTAACGACCGTGGTCAATATCAACGTGTAACGATGCATCCCCCCATCGTTACCGAACCGCCGCCGCCCGACGAACACCGGTCGGGCAAATGCGGAGGCGCTGAGAGCCCATTTTTAAATAATATCAGAAGCGCGTAAACATCTAACCGCCGTTAGGCGCGCGAAAACATCGAAAACCGACGACGCGCTCGGGTAACCGACCGACCGCTACCGAAAATACCCGAGTCGCACACCTATACCACACTCACACACCTAAACACACACGCTGTACATATACACCACACACGCAATAAATTATATTTTACCTAACATCACTTTCGTTCGTCTCTCGATATCCTCTTTCACGAGCCCCGGATCCCGATCGAGTTATCCGTCACCGCCTCGCGAAAGCGGTTTATTACAAACTTTAGAGCCCAATGGATTATTAAGAACTACATCATCATAATACAGTTGAATTCTTAATGCGTCTGGATAACGTAGAAAAAATGGATATTGTTTATAACTGATTCCATCTCTAAAAGTTACAAGTAAATTATCTGAGCTGTTTTGTTCAGAACGAACATAATTCCGCATGGATGAGTGAGACATTATTAATTTCAACGTTTCAATAATTGGGACATACTGAAAAGTCTCATAAGTTTTTTTTGTACCCACATTTGTTTTTTTCTATCAAAATATTGCTGCATTCTGAATCCAAGAGGTATTTCAACTGAGTCTATATAATGATAAGTGTTCTTGACCACTTTTATCTGAGCTTGTAAGGTATCAGTTTTCTCAAATAAATTGTCAAAATTTAACTTATTTAATAGTTCCTGAATATCAGAAGATTCTATGCTTGTATTCTGTTTTTTACAAAAATTAAACATTTCCTCACGAATAAAATCAGAAATATCAGAAACTAAGCACTGTGCTGCATTTGTTATGGCAGCTATAGCTGTACCAGGCCAATATTCCTAAATTCGCAATAAATTTTCGTGCACTCTTGGAGAGATCAAATTTTTTTGATGATTCTTGAAAATTAATACTATCATAATCTTTATTTTCATGTATTTCTTCTTTTGATAATTGTATTTCTATCTTTTCTGAAGTATTGGGTTTATTAGATTTCATGGATGAGTGGATATCTGAATAGCATATCTCATCACAGACAACATGCCATTTTTTAATGTGACGAAGTAAAGAATCAAATCTTAAAAAATGTTTATCACAGTTTTCTTGTTTACAATAAAACCCTGATGAGTAAGATCTGCTAACTATAATAGCATGATGACGACAAAAATGTAAAGAAAATTGCCTAATTGTGGTTGATAACGTTCCACATTTAAAACATTTAAGTAAAGTCATTGTGTTTGTTATAATATTGAAAGTTATATTTTAAATTTAAAAATAAAAGCAAATCAGAAGTAATATGTTAATGTATTTTTAAAAAAACGGATCACTTTTTAACTTTAATCCACCCTGTTTCGGGTATCTGTAATACAAATAAAAAATGCACGTGAGAAAATAAAAATAAAATTGAAATTATAACTGTAACATTATAGCATGTAATTGTGTATATATAATAAACATTTTAATTATAAATTGTATTTTAACGAATCATATTCTAATCTTTTTGTGTGTATGTGAGCTATATAATCTTATTTTTATTATAATGTTACTCTAAATACTTATTAAAGTAAATATTGAAACTATTAATATATTAAATTTTCACTAAACATACGTTATATTGAGTGAGTGCACAAATTTTGATGAATTTCATGATATAGAAAAATGGACCAAGTAATTTTATTAAGAATGATTTATTCATTCTAACCGACGAGTAATAACAAAATTTTTTTTTTAATGCATTTTTTAATGCTTTAAGGATTAACGGTATAATGTGCGTGTGTATATGTTGTCTTTTTTATAAATTGAAATCTTACCTTTTAGAATGTTGACGGCATCTTCCGAAATTCCACTGCTTAATAAAAACTGTTTTAAGTTTTCTGTGCTATTTAGAGTCTCCTAATGAAGAAAAATTTAAATATTTCAATATATTTCAATATTAAATATTTCAATAAACACATAACTATAACCGAGATCTCACGACGCGTAGTTCGCATTTGTCGAATCAACGAGCTACAAGTCATTATAAGTTACCTCTTATTATGGCTGTTTGTTGATCGATATGCAAGTCGAATTTATGATGAAGCTACATAACACAGCAAAGCACATGCTGTGAGATCTCGATTTATATACATGATCTTCTTATAACATAACTTATTCTAGAAATACAATCTAGCCTAAACACCATTTTTCATATTCACGTTAAATCGGTAAATGAATTACATAAATTCTTATAAGTACTTACCTCTGGGAGAAACGTTGACATTTCTATATCAATTATAGTTTATATATGTATATACAAGGTGTCCCATAATTCGCGGATCACCCGCCATGTGCAGGTAGAGCACATGAAACCGAGAAGAAAAGTCCTTTACCATTTTGCGATTTTCGTAATAATTATTAAGAAATTAATTTAAAAAGATGGGCCAATCCATGCCTTACACAAGCGCGCGGCGAGAAGAGACTTCCTACTCAGGCATTGCTCGGTGCGCGGTAAAGCGGTGGGAGGGGCGAGAGATGCGCGTTTAAATATTCGCGAATCCGGCGAAATGCGCAGGAGCCCCGTTCATTACTCGAAGAGCCGAACTCTGTTTACGAGAACGAGGAAGGCACTTCGAACAATTTTTACATTAAAATATGAGAGTGGATTAGACCTATTGGGGATACCACTTTAGAAAAAATGCACTGTGTTATCTACCGCAAGGTGGTTTATTTGCACATTGTTTGCAATAATTAACAATGTAATTGTTTGCAATAATTAACGATTATAAAATGTAATTATTAATTGCATTAAGAATTACATTGTAATTGAAATTTGTGATTGATAATTAGATTACATTTTTGCCCAACTCTGCTTCCTATGTCGCGCGCCCGAGAAAGAGAAAGAAAGAGAGAGAAAGAGAGAGAGAGAGAGAGAGAGAGAATAGTTCGAGATGCGTTTCTAACAATCATATATTTCGTTTTTCCTGCATTTATTTTTAACTTATTTATATTCATCCACTCTTCTACTATAGTAAATGCCATATTCATTTTGCTCTCTAATTCCGCGCTGCTTTCTCCAGTTACATATATTAACGTATCATCTGCAAACATTTTTATACTACATCCTTCTGGACAGATTTTTATTATATCATTTATATATACTATAAATAACAAAGGTCCTAATACAGATCCTTGCGGTACTCCATATTCTGTGGTCATTAATTTAGACCATTTATTATTAAATTGAACCTGCTGTATTATATTCTTTAAATATGATATTAACCATTCTAAAATCACTCCTCTAATTCCGTATTGATATAATTTTTCTAATAATCTTTCTCTATCTATTGTTTCAAAGGCTCGCTTAAGATCCATGAAAATTACCCCTACCATTTTTGCCTCACTAATTATCAATTTTCATTCATCAATGCCTGTCTGAATAGCTGTTTCACACGAATACTGTTTTCTAAAGCCCGACTGATGTTCTGTTATAATACGATTATCTTCTAAATACGTTTCAATTTGCTTTTTAATTACTAATTCTAACACTTTTTCAAATATTGGTAACATATTTATAGGCCTAAATTCACTTGCTTTTCTAGCTTTCTCTACTTTTGGAATCGGTATTGTTGTAGACGTTTTCCAACCTTTTGGACAGCAACCTTCCTTCAAGGAATTATTTATTATATCAACAAATTCCTCTTTTATTACGCAAAATACTGCCTTTAATATATTGCTAGTTATTCCCTCCTCTGTACCTTTCTTTTTCGGTAGTCCCATAACAATTTCCTGTAAATGCTCTATACTAATCATTTCAAAATTTATCATAATTCTCTCGTTTTCAATAACATAAATAATTCTTTTACATGCATTCCCAGTTTTACTCCCATTTATAGATTTTACTATACTATTAATACTTTGTATATAATATAAATTAAATTTATCTGCTATATTGCATCCTTCAGTGCCGTCTAATATTTCAAAATCTATATTCTCTACTTCCCTCTTACCTCCTGGTTCGCCTCTAATTATTTCTTTTAGTGTTTTCCACATCGATGTAGGATTTTCTTTATTAAGATTTATCATATTTTCATAATATGCTTTCTTCTTTGTTCTAATTAATTTAACTATTGTATTTCTTTCAATTTTAAATTGCAACCAATTTTGTTCCGTGTCAGCATACAATGCCTTCCTATATGCCTCATCCCTTTTAGCCGCTGCTTCTCTTATTTCATCCGAAAACCACTTTTTCCCTTCCCATATTCTCGGAATTCATCTATATTAAACTCTCTATAATTCCTAACACTAAGTTCTCTGTATTTATTATCAAATTTATTCGCATTTAGTTCAACTTTTAGCCACGCATGGTCCGTTATTTTAGGTTCATGCATTACCTGCATTTCTATTTTATTATTAGCAAAAATTAAATCTATAATTGTTTTACTATCTATCGTAATTCTCGTCGGTTTATTTACATATTGTTTCATGCCTAAGCTCAACATTGTCGTTTGTAACTTCCTTGTATAAAACGAATCTAACATAATATCTATATTAAAGTCTCCTATTATCATACATTCTCCCCGTATTATTAACTCTTCTATTATATCCTCCAGAGATCTTACGAAATCACCATGCGATGCACTCGGTGAATGATATATTACCATTATTATTCCTCTATACAATTTTTCATTCACCTCAATCGCAGCACACCAACAATTCGATTCTGATTTTTTTACTAATACTATTTCATATTTAACATCATCCCTTACATATAAAACAACCCCTCCTGTATTTCTATTTTCAGCATCGCATCTAATTATGCTATAACCTGGTACGTTCACTTCACTGTCTTCAATTTCAGCAGTCAATCTTGTCTCTGATAACGCTATGAATGCCGGATTTACTTTCTTCATAATCTGATGTTGTATCTCATCTTTATGCGCCATCAAACTTTGCGCGTTTGTATACAATATTATTTCCGCTTCCTTGAGAGAGAGAGAGAGAGAGAGAGCAAGAGAGAGAGAGAGAGAGAGAGAGGAATAATTGATGCACAAGATTCAGCAACTTACTCTTAGATTTAGAGAAGGATAGAAGAAACTAGAAATAAATATTGAGTGCTAGGAATAAAAATTAATTGTTTCATAATAATAAAATCGAAAGGATCCTGATATACAAATTCAAATATAAAGAGCTTTTAAACTTATACTTTTATTAAGAGCCCCTTATAATCCAAATTTCTCTACGCCGCTCGTACATACTGACAACTGAAAAGATCACACACATAAAACGGAGCGCGCATTATGTGTGTAATTCTTTCCGTTGTCATAGCGAAGCGCGCTCGCAAAGCGCTCCTTCCACTGCTTCGCCGTGGGCCTAGTATCAAGTGACAGTGGGAGACGTCTTTGCGCCGCGAGCTTCTCGCGGCACTTCATTGGCTGATCTTTTACAATTAATATTTTCTTCAATATTGAGAACATCGCAAAATGGTATAGGACTTTTCTGTTCAGAATAACACCCTCTACCTTCCCATAAAGGGTGTTGCGCGAATTTTCGGATACCCTGTATATATATCTTTTTATATAAAAATTTTAAAAAGCCTTTGTACGTATATGTGTTTGCATTAAGATATTTTTGTTTAATTTATTGATATGGAAGTAAAAATTAATTGATATTTAGACACAACGAGTCATTAAAGAAATATACAGGGTGAGTTTTTTAACTTGAGACTGCAAAATATCTGTAAAAATAAGCATCGTACGAAAAAAATGTTCCAAATAAACCCTCAATATTTTCGAGGGAGCAATTCTATCCCGCAAAAGTTAGCCGCCTACCGCCCCCCCCGTGGGGGTGGGGCTGGGGGTGACTTTGAAATCTTAAATGGGAACCCCTACCTTTTATTGCATATTCTTGTAGCTTATCTCAAGAGCTTTTCAAAACACTATAATAAAGTATTTTTACATTAAATATTTTTTGAATTATTTTATATCTTAATCTGACATATTTTGATAGAAAAAATAAAATATTTCGTAAAATATTTAGTTTTCGATAATCTTACCGTAATACTTTTATGTACAGAATAATGAGACAAATCAATTAGTATAAAAAAAAA